GTTGCGAAGCTTGAAATAATTAAGACCACTAGTAGAAAGTAGCAGCTAAAGTGTTTTCCATTCTATTCTTTGAAACTTCTATTTTCGTTCTAGTTTTTGCAATTGGTTTAACGAGATTGTAATGATGTGTGTGGAATGCAGAGCGCACCTAATTAAACTTCTTCGCAATACATTGACTAATTAACTCAGATAAAAAAAACTTGCATTCCTTGTATTTCTACATATCGCAGTGTTAATTTAATAACTAATGCAATCGCACGGCAACGTAACATAAATGATTGCTGCAAAGGAATGTGATACACGAGTTCAATAGCGGTTTATTGTGAGCAGCGTGTTTTCGAGTTAGATATGTTGTCAAGAAAAAACTCATGAGGTTGCGTAACATTTAAAAAAAAAGCGAGAGATTGGTTAAAGCTGACTCGTCAATGTTAATTATTTCGTCGCGTTGATTAGATTATCGTATCGATTATTTCTTGCCAGATAGATAACTATCAGGTAAATAAATTTCGTGAATAACACCGTGCTATTCTTGCGTTTTTAATTTTTGTTCGCATTTAATTTAATAGTTATAACGTTAAAAGAAAATAAATACAATCAAAACTAACTTTCTAAATGAATATGCGCGATATTCATTATTATCACATTGGAACGGACAACGTAATAATTAATTAACGATTGCCAATTATTTTATCCATGTCGTCATAAATTCTACGGTAATTGCAGGTTTTGTTCTCGCTATCGTAATCAATAAATTATTGTGAGCTTCTCGATAAAATTCATAAAACGCGGAATCAATTAAGACATGACGTTTTCATATTATTCGATCTCGGAATAGGTTCATGTTCGATATTAACAGATATTAACCGAGGCTAATAATTTTATCCTAATTGATAATATCGATCAATGCTCTACGCGGAGATATCGCTGATCCTCGGGTAGCTATCGGCGAATTTTTCGTGAATAAGCGTCGTGAGAAAGCGAAATCAGAGCCGCGCATATGTGGTCGATGTATCTTTGTTTATGGGCGTGCGTCGTCCACGGCAGCCAACACGTACGTACGTCGGGAGAAACGCAAGATAATTCATGTGAGACGATTCGTACAACGTTGTCGTACGCGATCGAATCTCGTATCCGCGTTTCGCCAGTCGGCACTTCCGCGTGCAATTATATAATCCGAAACAAAAATTCGGAATATCTCCCTTGCGCGCGTTTCTGCGCGCTCAATTACGCACTTCTGCGATGAACATTAGCGATTTTGACGTGTCACGCGTTTCATACCTTTGCAATGGGATCAACAATTGGTTGCACGTAGCTTGAAAATTTATGGACCTATACCTCTATCCGAGATGTTGAAATTGTTGATTGTGGTCGCGTATACTCTCTTCACGTAGGAAATACTGAAGGTGACATCAGTAGAGGAATTACGAGCTAGACTCGTAATATGAGATAGCGGGTTTTCAACATCCAAATTTACACACCTTTTGCAATGATTACACGCACGATCTTACAATGAATTTCTCACTAAACAGATTTCACGCCGAGGACAATAAATTCATGACGGAACTAACGGCCCGTGTCCACGATGCTAAGAACTTGGTTTCTAGTTTCGAGACATGTGTAGCTTGAACTTGGACCAAGTTCTAGCTTCGTGGACTCAGGTCTTAACAGATGACATCTATGAATTTAGCAGAAGCCACACTATCTCGTATTAGGAGGCTATCTCATAATAGGGTACTTTCCTTTACCATTATTTTCAGGATACCCTGTATACGTAGTAGCGCGAGCGTATCCAGAACTGTGCCTCTTGTTTATTGTGAGGTAAAAGTGAAGAAGCGTGCTGAAAAGGTCATGTGTTATAATGCGATGCTTACTTGTGTCTTGAAATCGTACTTTAAATTATTTCACGCGGATATTGTACCTCCCAAGGCCCTCGGACATCTGGAGAACATTTTTTAATGCTGACACGTGAACGTCAAAACAGTTTATTTTCTTTCCGAAATCTAAGAATTGCCGCGAAAGTAGCGGCTATTCTGGTTTGGGATAATATCGACAGGTTATTTTTATCATCACACACACATTTTATAGTTCATTGATTGATTCACGGATATTTTAAAAGAAATCGGTTCTATTGAAGCGCTTGTAGTGACGGTAGAATTAATTTTTCTTACATGCGCATCGTGGCAGTACATTCAGTTCGCCTTGAAAGCCACAATTAAAAAGCTGCATAGCCGCTGCTCTGCTACTCCTTTCTTCTCGCCGTATCTCTTTCTCTCCTGCCTCGGTCAGGCGCGATCTTCTTTTCAGCAAATGAAAGGTTCTATTTTAAGCCGCAGCGCCACGGCAGGATAGGAAAATTGTACTGCGCTGTTAATAGCGCGCGTTGTTTTATGCGCTCGCACGATCAATTTTCTTAACGACCGCAGTAGTACAGTGTAAACTAGCTTCTTCGAGGATAATTGCAGGATGTTGCCTTTTGCATACTCTCGTCGGAGAAGTGCATTAAAATGTGTGCGGGGTTGATAGGTATTTTTAAAAAATCTGAATGTCTAAATCTTTCATCGTGGCTATCTTTAGTCTCTTATAATATCTAAGTTCTTAATATATCATTCAATAAGCACCATATTGGTACATTTTATTTTATTCTGCACGTCAAATAGGCGTTCGAATTGTTCTTCTGAGAGTTTTCCAATAATTTGACTGTGTAGAGATTCAAAATACTTCGAATATTTGAAATCGAAAAGTCTCGAAGTTGCTGAAAAATCCTGAAAGTTTTGAACGCTTGATCCTCTCAAAGTATTGAATGTTTGAAAAATCTTTTTTTTTAATATTTTGGAGTATCGTGATTTTCTTTTAAATGTCTTTTACTTATCTTTGTGTATAAAATGGAAGATAAATTGAAATATAATAACATAAAATGTTACAAAGTTATAGTTTCACGTTTTCAACATCTTCGAGACTTTTAAATATCTTTCGGCTAAAATCTACAGCGACTCGTTCATTCAACATGATTCAATGTGTTGTCAGGCCAGATCTGTTATTCGGTCAAACATAAAAAATTTCACATATTTAACTTTCTGTGGAAGAAAATTTAATTGTACAAGTAGAAATTTCACAAAGTTAACGCTGAAAGAAAAATGAGGCTACCGTACGAGGCTAAAAACTACATGTGACAACTAAATTTCAGTTGAAAAATATGGACAGCTAATATTTAGTTGTGATAGCTAATATTTTGCTACTGTGCCTACTGTATCAGGTGCGACAGCAAACCGTTTCCTGTAATTTAGAAATTTATAGTTAGAGCAGCACAATATTTTTAGCAAATCATGATCAACTACGGTAGCTGTATTTAATTTGAACTGTACGATTTCTTTCTTGTTGTCGCGCAGATTCTAAACGACCGGAGTGCAATTTTTAGCACCGTATTTACGCGTGTCAAAAATGCGATCGAGGACAATTCACTTTGGTCGAGTACCTTTGAGTTTCAAGGGATTAGAAAGACCCTGCCGCTCACTTTGCATATAGCGAAGTGCACTTACTGCGAAGGGGGCCAGTTGCATTTTTTTTTTAGCGTATGAGGGCAGGGGCAGCCTTGAGCTGGCTGCACGGTCGCCCTATCGATTTTGAGGGTTCGTTTTCTGCGTGACCGTGCGCCACAACGTGGGGATTCACGCTCGTATCCTTGATATTTACGATGCACTTTATTAATAAAAGAGCCACCACTCCGTGACACGCGTGGAAGCCTATGCGCGGCTAAACGACGCGTGGAAATGTCTCGCTCTATATTATATACGGGAAACGATATGAAACGGGACTATAAATTCCGTAGTGATATAATAACTTGTGTCAATAAATGGGATTATCACTTTTGGGCGTATTATATAAAACGTATATTTCAGATATTATTTATACAGTACATTATTAATGATTAATTTGAACACTTAACGTTGAAAATCTCAAAAGTTTTTATTTGCGTGATCTAAGTTTGATTTAGTATAATTAAATGTTATGATTTATATATATAGTCATTTTTTTAAAACTAATAAATTATTCTTGATACTTGAAGCATCAGAAACTAAAGAATATCAGCAATTTTCTATTTCTCGAATGGGAAATTTATAACTTTTTATTGAAATAAGTAGTTGCGATTTTTGTTTAAAAACATAAAATAAATTTTTGTTCAATCTATACTTTATATACCTAATCTAGATAACATTTTTTCGAAATATATGAGAAATTCTATCGTTGATGAATTATTTATAAAAAATCGTATCAATTGTTGTCGAAACTCTGAACATGGAGTACTGTTATTGCAAAAGTCTTTACTTTAATATCCTTTGACAGTACAACTGGATAAAATTAATAAGAAAAGGCACCAAGTGATGTTTTACAAAAATTCTATATTGTAAACCGAAGGTTAAATTTCCGGAAGCGGATAGCCTCGGTCTCTATTTTACTTTTCCAGGGCAGAGTTGTTTGTACTGTCGACGAAGATTCGTCAGATGGCTATAATAAACTTTCGAATTGAGCGTTTGCGGCAGCAATTTTATTCGGTAGCTTACAAACACACGGCATTGTCTTCAAGTACACGACTGTATTTTCCAACGTTCCGTTCACCGTGGTTGTCACGATGCCTCAATTATCTCGACGGGGGACGAATAAAGGCTTATCTGTATTTCCCTGTCGTGGTATTGACGTAATTCTGCGGCAACGATCCTTTGTTGTCGCTTTCACCGCAAATTATTAATGCCGTTTGTTTGGCGGTTTTTGTTCGTGGCAGAAATTGACCGAAAGTGAAAAGAGGAAGCGGGCAAAAAAAAGTTCCGCCTTGTTAATTAGTAATTTCTTGGATTGTGGACTCGAGAAATCAGCGCGAATATTGTGATTTGATCTTGGAGCTCTAATCCTTGAAAAAGAAGTTTGTGATGAGAGTTCCAGGGTATTAATTTATTGCTAAAATCTCCTATGCGCGTGCGGTATCTGAGAATTATTATTTTTTTCAGGATTCGGGAGCAGGAGCACCGGCTGACGACGAGGACACTGCGAGGAGCTGTAAGAGGTAAGTCCACACAAGTGATTATTAATTTTTTTTTACGCAAAAGTATCGTGCACCTTTTCTGTGTCGAAGACGTAGATTCGGGAGAGAGCAAAGAATACTTATTAATGCTACACGTAGGAACACATACTTACACGCATTCTGTTATAAGAGTAATTTAAATTATTTTATTTTACATTATAAAATTACACTTTAAATTAAACATTATTTTTGTAACGACACGGCAATCTTCTCTTCAAATCTTCCCTGCGAGCTCGGGACACCCTGTATAAACGCGCACATGCTCAGTTTCAATGGCGATAAGATCGAATCGCAAGGCCGTATCATTAAGCGTGTGTCGAGAGTGGAGTCCCCGGGCTCTCATCTCGCGCCTAGAGCGTTCCCGGCCGATTTTCTCGTTTGTCAGCGCATAGTTGCCCTCGGCTACTCGAAAAGTGCAAAATGAAGCGGAATTCAACACGGGTGCGGGCTAATAAGTCGCGATAAGGATAACGACGTGGCTTGCCGAACTAGCTGCCTGTAGACTAGCGGCAATCTGTACTTTGCAAATAATTTGTTCACGCTTTGCTGGCAGTAAAGTTGCTCGGCTTCCAGATCGTCGATCCGATTCTCTTCCGGGATTTTTCATTCGCGAGGGTCGCGCGGGATATTTCGATTGTTCCTCGACTACTTTTCTCATAGTAGGCTTTCGCGAGTCCAAGACGATCTCGCGCGAACCAAGATTGGAGCTTTATTGTCGGACATTCGAGATGCGCCAGGCGCTTTTATTACGTTGGCCGGGCAGCGTTGTGTCTTGCCGTGTTTATGTTCTTGAAGACAGGTATCGGGATGCTGCGACGATCGGCGCTGGTTTTATCGCCGTGCGAATGGATACCTAATCTGAAATTAGCGTATTTTATGCGTGTCTCCGCGATTTTATCTTTAGAATGTTTTGTTTAAACGCGTGCAAAGGGTTCGTCATTTTTACATTGCATTATTTTTCGATGCACTCAAATTTTCTATTAAAATATAATGCACACACCCACAGCAAAAAAATTCCGAATCCAATGCTATTGCACTTCAATGTATCGTAAAATAGGATTGATACAGCGCCAATCATATTTATTGCAGAGAAAGGAATATTTTAATCTTAAATGAAAAGTTCTAAAATCTAAAAAAGAATAAAATGATAGTATGTATCGTCTTTTGTCGAATATCGTGGTGCCAACTTCCGTGCGTTGTAAGGTGGAGGGGAAATTTAATCGAAACGCAAGAATATAGAAACTTACCATACATTTATATAAGCTACTCTTGTCTCAATATAGCAAGTTAATATTTTTTAATTCTATAGAGGAGAATAAGAATTATTGATTTTATTTTGATATTGCCTTATTTTTATACTAAATGAGATGTGAGAAATGCAAATGCGTCAAGAATATTTTTTGTCTCGGTAACAGAAATCCTTTCCGCGGGTGTCTTTTCTGAAATACGATGCAGTATAAATATCATAATAAAGCAATCGTATTCCGTTACGTATATATTATACAATATATGGTTTTACTGTAACATATACAGGGTGAGTCTTTCCATATCCGACAAAATTTTTGAGAAGGTAGAACGGATCGAGATGAACGGAAAAGTTCTGTACCATTTTGCAATTTTCGTAATAGTTAACAAGTAATTAATTATTAAAAATCGTTGTTTTAGGCCGGCCTACCGCCCAATTCGAGCGCGTGGCGAGATGTGCGCATAGCATTATCGATCGCCAGGCGGTCACATCTTGCCACG